CTGGAAACCCCGTTCCCCACCCCCCCCCTTCCTCCGGAAAACCGGGGGGGGTCACTACCGGTTCGAACCCCCCCCCCCCTCGAAAACCGGAGGGGGATCACTACCGGTTCGAACCCCTCCCCACCCCCCCCACTCACCGCCAGCAAACGACTCCCGGTCCCTACCACCGTCCGCATCACATCCTCCACTGTTGTTCCCAGCACCACTGTCCTCACCACCACTGTCCCCACTGTGTCCCCACCAGTGCCCCCACCACTGTCGCACTGTCCCCACTGTCCCCACCACTGTTCCCACCACGGTTCCACTCTCCCCACTGTCTCCACGGCCCCAACCACTGCCCGACTATCCCCACTGTCCCCACTGTCCCACTGACTCCGCCGCTGTCCCACTGAGCTGTCCCACTGTTCCCACCACTGTCCCCACTGTCCCCACCGCTGTCCCCGCTGTTCCTCTGTCCCATTGTCCCGCCGCCGTCCTCGCCACCGCCTTCGCCACTGCCCCCGCCACCATTGTGCCCTCCACTGTCCCACTGTTTCCACCTCATTCCCACTGTGCTCACACCACTGTCCCCACCACCACCGTCCCCACCACTGTCCACTGTCCCCCCTGTTCCCACCATTGTCCCCACCACTGTCCCCGCCATTGCCGGCCCTCTACTGTCCCACTGTCCCACTGTCCTCACCACTGTACCGCTGTCCCCTCGCCGCTGTCCCACCTCGCACCGTCCCCACCTCTGTCCGCGCCCCCACTCGGTTTTCGAGGGGGGGGGGTCGAACCGGTAGTGCCCCCTCCCCTTTTCATGATGAGCTGGGGGGGGGGGGGGGGGGGTTCGAACCGGTAGCGACCCTCCCCGGTTTTCCGGAGGGGGGGGGGGGGGGTTCGCACCGGTAGTGACCGCCCCCCGGTTTTCCGCCAGCAGCGGTAGAACACGCCCTTTCAAAGATCGAGATGACAAACGGCCGCGATACTTGCCCGGCCCCTCTGCGGCTCGGCGCGTATGAGGCGCTGGTCAGCGTTGGCGAGCATTTTTTTCATTGGCGAAGACCATGTAAGACCCGCTCGACATACGGGGTACTCCGCAGACGTGGTGGCTTCTGCGCCGAGTGCAATGTCAGACATGGTATTGAGGGAAGGCCCTTTGATATCCTTGCTTGGCGCCTTGCTTCCGAGAGCTGCCATCGCAACTTCGCGTGGTGCCGATCCGAAGCCCAGCTGCGCGAAGACGGGGCGTTCCGTCCCGCGTGGCCTCTCGGTTCGTTCTCACCCGCGTACTAAAAGACCTGCTACCATTAGAGGGAGAGCCCGTCACGGGAAGGAGCTCCCGTCTTCTGCATTGGACAGATGGAAAATTTCCACGGGGGCGAAGTTTCGGATGCCCCTTGCATCGGGCGCATCATCAGTCTCAGCCATGCGAATAGCCTCGGAACTTGGAAGTGGTGTCTGGAACTTATGGCTCGGATAGGGGAATGAATGTGCCGGCAGCGCTGCTGCGGTCATTTAATCGAGGGAATCATCCTGTTGGCCTTGGTTCGATGCGTTTCATTGTTGACGCTGGCTGTGGTTGTAATCTCATTGCGGAAATATTTGTAGAGGGTACCGAAGCTATGGGTAAGATTCGGATATCTCCGGGCATTGCCTTGAACGCTGCTGGGGTATCCAGCGAGGCCCTCGGTGCAGCCGGCGCGTCATGCTCATATTTTAAAGATGGACACTTTAATGTTATAGTGATGCCCGAGACCCCGAGTGTATTTTCAGTGGGGAAACGGTGCGTTGACCGCGGTTTCAGTTATTGCTGGCCTGCGGGCCAAACTCCACATTTCTTCTTCCCCGATGGACATGGCGCCAACCTTGCCTGTGACGGTAAAGCTCCGTATTTGATGCGCGCAGGAAGGGGGGCGCTAGGTCAACGGAGCTGCGCAGTCGCGCAGGGTGCAAGTGGTGCCAGGCGCCGAGGCATTTCGGGGCTGTGGTTGGCCCCCCTGCTTGCTCCGTCCAGGCCCGCGCAACCATGGGCATGTGTGCGCGAGGGTCGATGGTCGCCCGCAGCTACGAGGACGGACAACCGGTTGGAGTGGACTCTGTGGATGTTACCATTTATTTCTACCCTTCGTTTCAAGACGCCCGTGAACGCGGTTTGACTTCCAGTGCAGCAGGCGTAGTTGTTCTTGCGCCATTGCCGACGACGCAGTCGGGGGTCTTCGGGGCGGGGAATGCGAGCAGCTCGTGGAGAGCAGTCTCGGGGAGTCTACCCTGCGATGTTAGTAGTGGGTGTTATGATTTTACCCCCGCTCCCGATGCGCCTGACGCGGGCCGAAATGCGAGCCCGGGCGGCGACGATCTAGTCGGCGTCTCCGAAAAACTGGCGGAACTGGAGCATGCGGGCGTTGAGATGACATTAGCAGGGTGTCTCAGACAGGACGCAGTCTCCGTTGAACAAATTCTTGCTCTCCCCCCGAGGAACCCGAAATGCAGTGCGTGCGATGTGGCCAAGGCTCCGCGCTTGCAGCGCAGAGAAAGTTACCGCGCGGGGCTGAAAGATTCCCGGGCGGTGCTCTGCTGACCCCCCTTGCTTCGGACGCCTCGCCGCCGCGGATCGCTGGTTTGCGGCTGATGACCTCTCGCAGGGACTCCGCGGGGGAACTGCGTGCGTGAAATTTCGCGTTCGGAGCTCGAACTTCATTGCTGCGCAGTGTGTTCATGACCAGTCGTCTGCGCATGTCTGTAATTTTCCAGTGAGCCTGAGGGCCCCAGGAGAGGGGCTGAACTTTAGTTTCGCTGATGGTGCCCAGGAACTTGCGCTTGCTTGCATGGGGCTTAGGATTCTACATTATGCCAACATCCCAGGCGAAAAGAAGCTTACAGCTGTTGCCGAAACATCCGGACAGGCGCGCGCATTGTTGGGAACTGCCAACCTTCCGCCTCCCTTTTGGATGTGTGCCGTCCGATGTTATTGCCCTTGTCATGCCGCAAGGCAAGACGAGTGGAAATCCAGTTCGCAGGCCCGTTTTGGTTCGCCATTTCAGGCGCCCCTTCTACCTTTCGGTCCCTTCATTCGCTACGTGCCTCCCCGTGAATCACGATATCGAGGGGCCAAGACAGGTGCCGTCATGCCTCCGGGGATTTATTTGGGTTATGTTCACAAAGCGGTTGGAATGGTAGGGCCCGATAGTTTCCCGGCGCTCCCTAGGATTACTCGAGGGTCTCAATTCTCGAAAAGTAAGAAGGCGATCGTTGTATGATGCTCGACGAGACAGCGGACATTCGGGTAAGAAGCATGAGAACAATCCATCTTCGAGCTCACCTCGGTGACAGCCGTCGCCTTTTGCTGCTGTGCGATCTTGTACTGCAGCTGCGCTTGGTCGGCACCGCGAGCCGACCTGGTGTCAGTGAAAAAAGGGAGTGCTTTGTGTCGTCGCCGCGTAATCGTCCCTTTGCTCACGTGTCCTACAAGCATCAGCTTACCGGAGATCACAGCAATTTCGACACGACCTGTCCAGAGCAGTAATGAGACCAACATATCATCATCTTCACATCCCACATTTGCCAGGGATCTTGTTCCCTGTGCAAATAGTTTTCGACGCTGAGTAGCTCAAGGCCGATATGTTCAAAACAGAGCATTGGATATACTCACAGCAGTGCAATTCGCCGCGTCGCAATGCGTTGCGTTGCATTTTACAGTATTATCATATGCTTGCCAGCGCGAGCCTCAATCAGTGATTCACTGTATCTGGGATGTGTGAAAAACGTGACGCCATCTACTGGTGCAGACTTTATGATCCAACCCATGTGTTGCTAGCTGCGTGCTGCAAACATGTGTGGTGCAAGCTGTTTGGCGCATGCGATGGGTTGCGAATTGTGTGGTGCACGCTATGTGGTGCAGGCTACGGTCACGAGCTTTTGCCTAGCCCGCTGGTTCTGGGCCACCACGCTTCTGGGCGACACGCTGATCACGCCCCACTCCCCAATTGTCAACGCCCCAAGGTCTTTCCAGCCTCCCACCCGGCGAAGCGGAGCGACACGGAATCAGTTTGAAGTCCGCGGCGCGTCCGCAAGGCCGCAGGTGTGAAATTCTCAACATAGTTCCTGACCGTATGTGGTGCAAATTTCGTGGTTCAAGCAATGTGGTGCAACTTTGTGGTGCAATTTTGTGGTGCAGGCTATGAGTGGCGACAACCACGCGCCCCATGCTGGGGACGGGGCGACAAATTTGAAAACCCAGCCAGCGCACGAGGCGCCCACAAGGCGACCACTGGCGGCGAAGCGGCGAAGACCCATGATTCCCAGCCGGCGCACGAGGCGCTCACGGGGCGGCTGCGGGTTTCGCCGACCCGAAAGAGCCCAGAGTTCCCAGCCGGCACAGGAGGCGCCCGCGAGGCGACCACCGGCGGCGAAAAGGCGAGAACCCGCATTCCCACCCGGCGCACGAGGCCCCCACGGACGGGGCGGCGGCGAGGCGAAAGCGCGGCACCCAGCTGGCGAACGAGGCGCCAACGAAGCGCCCACGGGCAGCGAAATGGCGACAACGTGGAACTGCCAGTCAAGCGCTGAAGAAGCGAAGTGGTGAGTCCCAAGCTGAAGCGCTGTTGGGGGAAAGTGCGCAGCAGGACGAACCAAAACGATATCGGAAAATGTTTCAGCTCGTTTTTTGTGTTTCCCATCAACCGTCTTTGAGGGTTCCGGGTGGTCTGGGCAAAAGGCAGCCTTTTGGTGGCTGGTCTGGAGGGTGTCAGAACTGCACGTGTGGGAGGTTTGTGACCCCCCGTCCTTTGTTGTGATATCTGGAGTGCGGTGCGTCGTGAGGAAGATGCGGGCAACACGGAAACTGAAGCTTTAGAAAACCCAGGGTAAGCCCTCCCCCACGGTTCAGGAAGGCTTCGCGGAGGGTTCCGGGAGGAGTTCACAAAGGGTTTTGGTCGTTTTGGGGGAAGCCACTCCCTGGCGAACCCTGTGTTTTCTAGCTGCAGCGCGAGCGTCCTTCCGTGTGGCATGCGCACCGGCAGGCCATCATGGGGAACCTGCAGCCTGGGCAGACTCCGTCGCCGCTGCAGATGCGGGTGCCCCAGCGACCGCGGGTCGCCTCACGCGGGGTGCCTCCCGCTGCGATTCGAATCCTGCGCTCCGAGATCGGCAGGTGTTGCTTTCCATTCTCCTTTCGCTTCCTGTGCTGAGTGCGAGAAGCGTTCGTGACGCGCCCACGTGGTTCCAGCGCTCTGCCTTCGCTCCCCTCCACCGATCATTGTTGTTGCTGCTCAGCCTACCTTGATTTCGGAGTTTGGGGTTTGGGGTGTGAGACTGAAGTGAACCAGATTGCCTCCAAACCAAGACATAAGTTCCCGTTTCCTTTCGATTCGCGTTAAGCGTGTGGGCGAGGAGTTTTCGCTTGTATCTAAGGGCAAATGGGACTAAGAAGCTTCTTCTCCGAGTGGGGACGGTTGTCCTGTGCAGCTGTTCTGTACTTGCCGCAGAGTTGTCGGGTGCGGCTGTCTCGTGATTAGTAGTTGTTGAGATAGTTAGCGAGGTAGTTCAATCGTACGAAAGTTGTACCGTTTCTTGTCCAGTTGGGTAGATACAGCACAGGATAGAAGGTTACTTAGTACGTTGTCACCCGTTCCTGACGAAGTGGTCGGGCGCAGCTCGTGGAAGAGGTGGCGTTTCTGTCAGGCCTTCTGGATCGTCCTCGCTCGAGCGCGGGAGATCGAGTCTCTCGTGTCTATCGGGCCATCAGGGGCGGCCAAGAGGGCTTTTTGAGCACCAGTGCGTGTGCGTGTGTGTGTGTGCGCGCGTGTGCGTGTGTGTGTGTGTGTGTGTGTGTGTGTGTGTGTGTGTGTGTGTGCGTGTGTGTGTGCGCGTGTGTGTGTGTGTGTGTGTGTGTGTGTGTGTGTGTGTGTGTGTGTGTGTGTGTGTGTGTGTGTGTGTGTGTGTGTGTGTGTGTGCGTGTGTGTGTGTGTGTGCGTGTGTGTGTGTGTGTGTGTGTGTGTGTGTGTGTGTGTGTGTGCGTGTGTGTGTGCGTGTGTGTGTGTGTGTGTGTGTGTGTGTGTGTGTGGAAATCATTGCAGGGGCCACGATGCCCGGATTCCATGGCCCCCTCTTCTCTTAACGCAATGCGTCCCTTGGCCCTCCTGGGCGGCGCGTGCCCTGGGCCATGATCTGCGACCCCCCCCCTGCTGGGTGCCCCTCCTGTGGACGTCCCCGAGAGTCACCCGCGTTGGGTGGCCTGCTGCCATGTCAGAGTCTTTGAATGGGGCGGGTTGGGATGTGGACGGTGGAAGTAAGAACCAGGAATGGAGGAGGAGGAGGAGGAGGAGGAGGAGGAGGAAGACTGAGGCGTGATGTAGAACGGCGCTCTGGAGAACTGAGGATCGAGGCTGCCCCGTGCGTGCTAAGGCAGCAGCTTCAGAACTTGATAGCGCAGGCGCAGAGGCTTCCTGGAGGCGTGCAGCTGCTGATGCAGCAGCTGCAGAATTCTCCGGTGGCGGCTTTCTTCTGAGCAGTTCCGCGTCGATCCATGCACCCTGCTTCTGTCAGCTCATCCTGAACATTCACATTCCTGTTCTTGCAGCATCCCAGCAGCTGTTGTGTCAGCCATACGGGCAAGCTGCGCCCCAAGGGGAGACCAGAGTCCGTCGTGCCGTTGCTCGACGGGCTGGCAATCGATTGAGCCATGCATTGGTGTGTTTGTCCCTCGCTCGTTCTTCTGGTTTGCTTCACGTGCTCCGACCTGTGTGGAAGGGAACGGGACGCCATAAGGAGGGATGGGGCAGAGAAGCCGTCGATGCCAGTAGTATCATCAGGGGCGGGGGCCTTTTTGACCCGTCTTGTGCCGTCCAGAGGCTAACTTGGGGCTTCCTGGGGCCTTCTTGCGCCGTCTCGGGGCCTTCTCCGGGCGTGGCTGGCCCGTCCTGAGTGGGGCCTTTTATAAGCGCTCCCGAAGCACTATGAGGGACATGTGCAAGAGAAGCAACATGCTGGGCAGCAGCAGTTTTTTGAAGGATGTCGATCCGTCGGGTGCATTTGTATGGAGCTTCCTGGCAACCTTGAGCCGTCGTCAACCGAGCTTGACCATCCCGCGCGATCTTGAACGCCATCTGGAGCTCTTTAGGACCATCTTGAAACCATTTTGGAATGTGGAACGCCCGAACCATCCAAGCCCCCTCCATCAAGCACCCCCGCGGTACCTCATTGACCCCCCCCTCAGAACAGCAGAATTGGCTTCCGAGTGGAGGATCCGAGAACCCTAGCGAGTTCATGCAATTCCATGCCATGGGGTTTGAGTAATCACTGCCTTGGCCAATGCCACTGCACCAGTATGGGGTCGGGTCTCGTAGACTGTCGCCAAGGCAGTCTGGATGGTCTAGTTCTGCTGCGTGGCGAGCGCCACTTGCCGCATCCCACTCTCGATTGCCTCTCCCAGGTGGGCGCTGCCCTTGGCATGGCCCCGGCCCCAATGGCAGGTGTCGCGCTCTTTTGCTGTTCCGGGGGGAAGGGAAGACGAAGAGGAGGAGGAGGAAGAGAAGGAGGAGGAAGTAGGAGGGGGAGCCGTAGTGAAAACAGGATGATGCTGATTGATGCATGATGCGTTATGCTTGATACTTGATGCTTCATGCTTCATGTTTGGCTCTTGCTTGGTTGATTGTTTGGTTGATTTGATTTGCTTAGCTGGTTATGATGGTGATGAGGATGAGGATGAAGATGGGGGTTGAGGATGACGATGGTGACGATTATGATGATGATGCTTACGATGATGATGATGATGACGATGATGATGATGATGATGATGATGATGATGATGATGATGATGATGATGATGATACTGATGATGATGATGATGATGATGATGATGATGATCATGATGATGGTGATGGTGATGGTGATGCTTCTGATGATGATGCTGATGATGATGTTGTTGATGATGATGGTGGTGGTGGTGGTGCTGATGATGCTGCTGATGATGATGCTGGTGACCATGATGACGACGACGATGAGGACGATGAACATGATGATGCTGATGCTGCTGATGATGCTGCTGATGATGATGCTGATACTGATGCTGATGCTGACGATGCTGAGTTTGATGAGTATGATGCTGCTGCTGCTGATGATGATGATTATGATGATGCTGATGCTGATGATGCTGATGATGCTGCTGATGATGATGGTGATGTTCATGCTGCTGCTGATGATGATGCTGATGCTGATGCTGATGCTGATGAAGCTTCTGCTGCTGATGCGGATGAGGATGTTGATGAGTATATTTGCGGAAGAGGCTCATGATGATGATGGTGATGCTGGTTGTGGTAGTGAGGATGATGATGAGGATGATGAGGACGAGGATGGTGATGGTGATGGTGATGGTGACTGGGGTCGTGACGGTGGTGCTATGATGGTGAGGACGGGACAGTTATGGCTAGCATAGCACTCCTGAGGTTCCCCCCATGCGGGGCCCACTGTGGGCTCCAGAAGGCGAGCCCCAGACCATTGTCCAACGTCACAGCCCCCCCCCGACTCTTCCAGCTGGGGGGTCATCGCGGCTCCCCGAAGCCCATGTTGTGGGGCAAAGAGTCCTGCACGCTGCGGCGACGTCCTGCACTCAGCGCTGCAGCCGCACGCTGCGGTGGCGTCCTCACCGTACCTGTGCTGTTGCACTGACGACGCAGAGGGCCCCGCGCGCCAGTGCGTGGGTAGAACGGCCGCGAACTGGTACAGGCTGTCACGCCGGACTGGGGCCGGCTCCGCGGCTTGCGGGAGCCCCCTGAAGGAAGAAAGTCGCGCGCGAGGCACCGCCGCCGCAGCGCCTCGCCGCCCTCGCCCTCGCGGCCGAGTCGAGCGGCCGCGAACTGGTGCAGGCTGTCACGCCCGGCTGGGGCGGGCCCCTCGGTGCCAGGGAGCCCCACAAGGAGAAGGACGTGAGGCACCGCCTCCGCAGAGTCTCGCCGCCCTCGCCCTCGTGGCCGGCCTTGTTCTCGTTCACGCCGTGCGACGGACTCGCGCCGTCGCGGCTGCCACCTGAGGCTCCGGGGCTCAATTCCTTCTCTTGACCCTGACTTCAGCGACGGCGCAGTTTGGACCAACCTGTTTCGCTTGGCCTCCACGCCTGGTGTGACTCGCGACAGGTGTGGCGACGGCGGAGCAAGGCACGCGGTGGCGCACGCGGCCGAGAGGAGCGCCACCCCACCCGCCTCTGCCTGGTTCCAAACTGCCCAGAGGAGTCCTCCTCCTCCTCCTCCTCCTCCTCCTCATCCGACCCGTCGACGAAACCGCCGCGTCGATCCATCCCCCAGCGTATGCGTCCTGCCCCGGACCTCTTGCGGCCCCTCGTTCCACGGCGTGGCTGCAAGCTCGAGCTTCTGGCGTCCGCGCAGCGTCGCCGCGGCTGCCACCGCCGCCGCTGGCGCCCGCGAGCCTGGCTCACCTGGTCCTCGGCGCGGCCGGCCTGGCGCCGCCACTGCCGCCTCTCTCTTGCCCCGCTCACACGGCGCAGCAGGCCCGCGCACGGCTGGTCGGAGGCGCCGCGTACAGTGGTGGTGCCCGCGCCCTCGCGCGCCCTCGCCATCGCCCAGGACTTCGCTGCCGCGCAGGGACACGTCACCTCAGGCCCCCCCCCCTAGAGGCCTCCAAGATGGCTTTGAGACTGCCCAACAGGACCCACGAATGGCCCAACAATCCTCCAAGACGGCATCAAGGCAGCCCAAGAAGGCTCCAGGATGCACCAGGAGGCCCCACAGACCAGCGCCGAGCTCATCCCCATCCTTCTGCCCGACAAGCCCCAGGCGGTGCACAACATAGGGGATAGTGGTCTGCTTCAGGTTGGCCCCGCCCCCCTGGTTTCCCGCGCGCCCGCGCCCGCGCCCGCCCGTGCTGCCCGGCGGCGCCGATGGATGCGCTCCCCCGCCGCAGCGGGTGCCGGGCCCCCCTCTCCTCGCCGCCCGTGGCCGCCCTGCGCCCTGCGCCGCCCCCCCCGCGCCTCCCCGCGCCCCGCCGCTGGCGCCGCTGGCGCCCCGGGGCTCACACGCCGCTCCCCGCGCGCCTCTCCGCGGCGCCAACCCGCGAGCTCTGCCGTCGCGCCGCAGGCCGGCGGGCCTCGACGAGGCGCCGGCCGTCGCGTGCCGCTGGGGACGCGCCACCGCAGGCGTTGGCCTTCCGAGGGCACGTGCGCCTCGTCGCCAGCGCCCAGCGCGCCCGTCCGACGGGCCCTCGCGTCGGCGCCGGGTGCGTGGCCTACTCGTGCCGAGCTGCCGCCGGCCGTGCTGGCCATCGCGGGCCATCGGGGACGCTGCCATGGACGCTGGCCCCTCAGGGATCCACTGCGCGTAAGGGTGGCGCTTCGCTGGAGTGATCTTTTTCAGGCAGGCCTGGGAACGGGACAAATCATTCCAGAGCCACCCTTGAACGCTCTGCAGAAGCCGCGGCGCCCGATGCGTCTTCCAGAAACGCCACATCTCAGAGATCCCATATCTATCCCGATTCGATCTTGTCCTGTTCCAGGATTCGTTTCACCTCTGGTGTCGGCCCACGGGGCCTCTGCGCGCTCGGATCTGGCCACCCC